CCCCCACCACCCGCACAGGCTTGCCGGTCCCACTTGCTCTGGAGGGCGCACTGCAGTCCCTGCAGGGAGACGGCGGGAAGAGCGCCCTGGGCAGAGGGAGCAGCAGGGCTCAGGCACCGCCCTGCACGGCGGCCTCAGCGGTCTGCGACAGGGAGGGACTTGCAGGTGGAGAGGAGGCAGGCACTGCGGCGGGAGCAGGGGACCGGGCTTTGGTGGTATTCTCAGCCGCAAGGGGCGAAGTCACGGCAACCCGAGGTCGGGTGACAGGTGGTCTGTCGGGTGAAGCCCAGGAGCCCCGTGATACAAGACGGAAGGGACAGGTGGGAGCACCGATTTTGTAACTTCTGTGATGAGAGGCTGTGCAGAAAACGTTCTGGAAGGTTGGCAATTTTGTGTACAACGTTCTCAACTTCTTCATAATATCGTTAGTGAGAACTATCTGAATCCAGGTGGTCACAGAATAAAGTTTCAGTGTACCTGCTGGAATGATCAGGGTCTCCCACCAAACAGCATCCTTCAAATTTACCAGAGAACCTCTAATGAAAAGCAAGACCCGGGGCACATTCACTCACAAGTCTGGGTCAATGGACAACCACGGGCCTGAGATCAAACCCTCGTGCCGTGCATACACACCCTCCCGTCCTCTTCTCCGCACCCTTCTGACCATCCCGGACCGCTCTCCAACACTGAGCTCAGGGCCTGAAGTGTGAGCTGTGATGCTGGCCAAGGGCACCTGCAAGATGAGGGACCACGTGGACCCCATGTAACAGCACAAAGGAGGCAGGGACACAGCAGGTAGACATGGCCTCGACACTTTCCAAACCCGCGCCCGGGCCCTTGGAAGGCACAGGCTCTTACCGTGGGCCCACCCTTTCCAACACCAGCCTTCTGGCCTCTTTCTTTCTCCTCATCAAAACCCAGCTTGATAAAGACACGGCTAAGGCTACCCGGCTACAACGTCCCAACTTATCACGTATTTCTGACAACTGTCCTTACGTGGAAAGGGAAATAAATGGGGAGCAAGTGCCCAAGCACAAAGTTTTTGGGAACTCCACAAATATGGAGTTAAATCCAGTATTTCTTCTAGATGGGGGAAGAAGAACAGAGTAAGAACTTCACCCCAGGGAAAACCACGAACATCAGCAGTTCAGACCGAGTAACTTCGCCGCAGAGGGAACAGTCACTCCGTTCCTGGGCAGACACTCGGGGTGATGGTAAGGAGACTCCGGCCCTGAACAACAATCCCCGCACAGGGAGAAGGGTGACAGCACCTCCCCAAAGCCATGCGACAGGAGGACTCAGGAGTCTGCTCAGGAGGCAAGTGATGAAGCACGGGCGCTGTGGACAGTCACTGCCTGCTGCCCAAAGGCTCAGGCGGGCAGGTCCAACACTGCTCCCAGGGCTCCCTCCTCCCAGACATGCGGGATGGGACTGTGACCTCCCTGCACACACCTCCCATCTACTCTTCGTCTGCGGTATTTTCACATGGGGCACGGAGAAAAGGAGGTCACGTGGACGCAAGCTGTGGGGACACTCAGTTAGCAGAGAGGCCAGGAGAGGAAAGCCGACAGGGAGAAATCAGAACTGGACCAGGAAGCCCACCCAGATGGGACGGGACAGCCCACAGCCGGAGTGTCATCTCGGGAAGGCTGGGGGCCCTCCCCTCCGCAGGAGCCCACGGAACTTCTGCTGTAAGCTGGTTTTCTGACGTGAAATTCCTTCTGCTGCTGTTACTACAACATCTCCCAGGGTCCCTCCTGGCAGACGGGAATCCCGGTGGGGCACACGCCACTACATGACAAGGCAAAAGGGTGCTTTAGGGGCACAGAAACGTTACAGGCCTTGTGCAGCTCTCTTGATAATGGATTTTTCACGTGCTGAAATATCTCACATGTGAATCTCAACTTGACCATTTACAGTCAGCTGGGTCACCCCCACAGAACAGCCACCTCTTAGGTGCTGGGAAGCTGTGGGCTCGACTGAAGCACTGAGGTTTGGCCATGTTTTCTCTTAACTCTTGTGACGGCTGAGCTCCAGCTAGGACGTGAGTGCGTCACCTGGGCCACAGGTGCAGGTCTCACACAGGGAAGATCTCCAGTTACGTGTAAGTGACCTGTGAACCAACCCACCCGTGGGACTGAGCTCTGAAATCTTAAGAGGCAGGTAAAGAGGATGGCTCAACAGGCAAGCCAAGCCCTGCCTTCTCTCCGGCTTCTTCCTGCTGCTCCCCCCACGCCCCTGCCAGGTCCAAGGGCCCCTACATGTGTCTTTATGGCACCATCTACCTCCTCAACACACCCCAAAACCAGCGGCTCTGCTGGGAGGGGCCACCCCAGTCACCTGTGCCTCTGGTGCCCGTCAGTGCGTCGGAGCAGGTGTTCAAGAGATTGTTCCGGATAAACACTCGGGATAATCTCATCCTGCAGCTAAACAAGAGCAATGCTTCACTGTAATTTGAAGAAAATTGGCTGCACATATTCTGGCCTCACTTTCCTCCTCCTGACACAGAACAGTGAAGGACTCTGTGTCTCTCAAGGGGCTCCTGCTGCTCCAGGCCCCAGGAACAGGGGCAAATGCCCCGTCTGTGTAAAGACTGTAGCTGCTGCCTTAGCGCCAGAGAAGAGGCCCTCCTACAGGCTGCCGGTGCCTCAGAAGACTCCAGGCAGCGAGGCTCTGGCAAGAAACCACCTCAAATGATCTGCTGTCCTAAAACGGGGGCTTCCCCTCACGGTGGCGAGCAGCCGAGCTTGGGGAGCACAGCGCCGACTGGCAGAGCAGACCCAGGAAGAGTGGGGTTGGGGGAGGCAGAAGCCGCGCGTCGGCACGCCAGGCTGCACATGCTGCGCTTTCCCCAAGACGCGGTTTCAAATCCCGTCCCTCCCACCTGCTGGCACTTCGATCCAGAGTGTCCAGAGCTGGGCCCAGGGCTCTCTCCGGGCCAACCGCATGGCCCCAGAGCAGGCTTGATCCCTGAGCTGTGGAAAGTGATGGCCAACATCCTGGGTCTTTGCCCGGAATCTATCAACAGAGACAAATCCACATCCCAGGAAGGGCTCCCTACCACCGGCTCTTCCTACAGACACACAGTCTCATACGCAGGTCCCCTCAGCTGGCCCAGGAGCTGAGGTCACCTCCAGCAACGCCCACAACTCCTGTCTGAGACTGGCCTGGGAAAGAACTTTGAGAGCCTGGGGACAGGGCCTGGGGACGAGGAAGGGAGCACCTCACGTTACCGCACCTCCCCGCTGACCCACAAGCACTGTTCTCCCTCCTCTGGAGACCAAACGTCCTCTCCCACTAATGGTCCGTGAGGGAGCACAGAAGCCCCAGGGACCGGGGTGCAGGTCAAACCAGACCGTCTCCAGACCATGTGCAACCCTCGTCAGCCTAAGCTAAGCTATAGTCCTGCCCAGTCCTCTGACTCTCCCTGAGGTGCTGAAAATTCAGCTTGACATGAGCCCTACCTGTGACTGAAGAGCCCCAGGACATCACGGAGTGAGGTGACCTCACAGCCCATCCATGCAGGCAGACGAAAAAGCAAGACCAAATTCAGCCAAGCCCCGCGGAGATTCAACATGCTGTGCGGGCCAACTCCCGGCCCAGCGTCCCCGGCCCAGCAAGCCCTTCTTGGTTCCTCCCGTTGCTCCCAAATCTCTGCCAGCTGGGAACACATCCCAGCGGGCT